AGGCCCTCAGGTTTGTATCGTGGCTCAGGTATTTTACTTAATTAAGATCCTTAATATGTATGCCCTTCAGCTTCTCTACCTGAGAAATGGAGATGAATATCCTACCTACCTCACAGGGCTGTTAGTGAGGATTGAATGACACCTTATAAATGGAAGGACTTTATAAACTGTAAAATGTTATGCAGAAGCAGGAGGCTTCTATGGCAATGATGATTTTCTCAAAGGCATTCTATAAATTCCTTACAATCACGGTGGCTTAGGTGTCAAGTTCACTTGACAACACAGCCTTTTTATGGCTAGAATTATCCAGAAGACCTGGAAATTGAGGCTCTGATTTGGTGAAGAACTTGAGGGATTCCTTCCTAGCCTTGATCAGGGAGCAGTAAACTTTTTCTATAAAGGGCCAAATAGTTAATATATTAGGTTCCATGGGCCATACAGTGACTAGTGCACTTCTCAGCAAATACAAAGACAGTACACAAATGAATGAGTATGACTGTGTCCCAATAAAACTTTATTTATGGACACAGAAATTTGAATTTCATTTAGTTTTCACATGTCACAATTTTTTTTATTTTATTAAATTTTAGCTATTTAAAAATGTAAAAACCATTCTTAGCTCATGGGTCAGACAAAAACAGGCAGCAGGTAGGATTTGGCCTGATGGCTTCATTTGCTGACACCTGCCCCAGACAACTCGCAAGAGCCGAGTGTCAGAGAGAGAAAAAGGGGGATAGGAAGTCATTTAGGCATGTGTCGCTGGTCGCTTACTTTTTCTGGCCTTCCTCTCTGCCTGGTTGATGTCAAAGACTGTTAAATGAAAACATTGAGGTCTACACTCAAGGCCCTTTGGAAAATGCAACCTAGATCTCTGTTCTCCAACCCTTATCCAAAACCCCATAACAGCAACAACAACAATGGCAACAATAATGGTACTTATGGCTGGTCGCAGAGGCACATGCAGCTCATCCAGTCCTACAGGCAGTCCCTCTGAGGAACCCAGACCTGCAAGTGCTGCAATCACATGAGGTTCCACTGTGGCCCATTGCAAAATTGAGCCTGACTTGCATTTTAGTAATGAGTCCTTGGTCCACACTGAGGGGCACAATGAGAAACAACAAATGTAAGCCACTGTGGCATCTCTTATTGAGATGCTGTCCAGGATGCCATCTCTCCAAGAAGAAATTTCTCTCATAACTCATCCAGGTATCAGGAAAAACTGGGCATCAACTTAAAAACTGCTTTTACCTTGAAAATAATGCAAATTTCCTTGTTTGACTTGGTTTCAAGAAAGCTCATAGTCAAATATACCTCTACTGACTGTAAAGTATCCTACAAGTCATCAGCAGCACAGGTTTACCAAGCATGTAGCATGTGCTCAGCACTTTTCATGCAGGCCTCTGCACTTAATCTTCACACAGCCTTGAGAGGGAAGTTCATTTGGTAACCCTTTTGTAGTGGGGTGAATAATGACTTCCGAGACACCCATGTCCTCTCTTGAATGTTACCTTATCTGGCAAAAGAGAGTTAGCAATTGTGGTTAAACTAAGGATCTTGAGATAGTGAGATTATCCTAATCTGTCCTCATAAGAGGGAGGCAGAGGGCACAGAAGCAAGGTGATGGGTGAAGCAAGATGCTATATTGTTGGCTTTGAAGATGGAAGAAGAGGCTATGAGCCAGTGACTGCAAAGCAAGCAGCTGTAGAAGCTGGAAAAGACAAGGAAAGAGATCCTCCCCAAGACAGTATGGCCTTGACCAAGGGAAACTGACATTGGACTTCTGACCTCCAGAGCTCTAGAAGAATAAGTGTGTGTCATTTTAAGCCACCAAGTGGTAACTTGTTACAGCAGCTACAGGAAACTCATACACCCTCTGTACAATCAAGGACAGGGGACTTAAAGTATATTGCCCAAGGGTTGGAATGAGATTTGTTGACTACAGACCCCAAGATCTTATCCCTTACACTGTCTCATCTGTTGTGTGTGTCCTGATCACCCTGGCGTTACTATTCCTCTTGTTTTCCCTCCCCTTATCCTGCTTCTCTCACTACCAGTCCGTCTTCCAGTCATGTATACTTTTGTAATCTACCGCATGTCTTGGTGTGATAGAGGCAGCGTATAAATACATTGATAGACATCTTTGGCATGTGCATGGGGTAGGGTTCCTGGACTCTTCTTAGGCCTACAAATTGTCTTATGATTTAACCAGAGAAAGGTCCCTATTGGTTTTGTTCCACCTTTGCTTTTGTAAAGACTGTTGCGCTCTCCTTTACTGTAGCACTAACAGTTGGGCTGAACACGACTTCCAGTTTTTCAGAAAATTTTGCTCACTTCCTGGTTAGTATTCAGAGCCCAATGAGTGCTTATGAGGTTTTTTCTTTTCAAGGAATTTTGTATCATTCAGAACAATTTGTAGCCTAAGACTTCCTCTTCCCACTAAAATTGTAAAACTAAAAGAGAAGGGAAAAAATGTAACAGTAAACCCAGAAAACAATAGATCTTTTGTTTTGTCAGCTGACCCTTCCACATTTGCTTGCACATTGCAATTCTTGAGGCCCCTAAACACTAGGCTGGGCAAGGCAGAGAGACACAACCTGTAGTCTTTGTACTGTGTTATCAATGTGGAGGCCTTGGGAGTTTTGGGGGAGTGGGACTGCCTCACTGTGAATCCAGCAGCTGAAAGGGGACCGTCTCCACCTGGGAAGGGTATGCAGCCAGCAGTCTCTGACAGCTCAATGGCTATGTAGACATGAAGCAAGGCCCATCTCTAGAGAAGCTCCCAGGACTTTCCTTTCTGCTGCCCCCAAAGTGTACCAAAGATCCCCTCTGACATTAAAGCTCTTGAAATGATGCTGATTCAGTATCCCATTGTTTCTTTCCTAAATTATTGATTCTACAGGCTACAAACTCTACCTCTAGCCTCAAACAGCTTTCAATCTAATATCCATGCTCCGACCTATTAGTGTAGGAATCTTGCCAAAATGCATTCTCCTCATTGCCAAAGGGGTGCAGCCCAACCTTGTCCGGGTCCCCTGGTGTATTAGTCAGGGTTCTTCAAAGAAATATAACAAATGGGATTTTATCTGTAATATATACATGTTATATAAGATTATATATAATACATATGTATTCTAGAAGATTTATTATGAGATATAGGCTCCAATGATTATGGAAGCTGAGAAGTCCCATGATTTGTTCTTTGGGAGCTGGAGACCCAGGAAAGCCGGGGCTGCAGTGTGAAGGCGGGTGGAGCAGGAAAGCTGCGAGCAGAAGGTAGAGCCCAGCTCAGCAGTCAGGCAGAGAGTGGATTCTCCCTTCCACCTCTTTGTTCTTCCCAGGCTCTCAACAGATTGGAAGACCCCCATCCTCATTGACCAGGGTGACCTCTTTACTCAATCCACTGATTTAAATTCTAACGTCTTCTGGAAGCACCCTCGCAGACACCCCCAGAAATAACGTTTGTTTAGCCACTATCTGAGCACTCCCAGTCACGTTGATGCATAAAAGGAACCACCATGCCCGGCTGGCGCAGCTCAGCGGTTGAACATCGATCTAGGATCCAGGAGATTGTGGTTTGATTCCCAGTCAGGGCACAAGCCCGGGTTTAGGGCCAGTCCTCAGAGGGGGGCGTGCAAGAGGCAGCTCATCGATGACCCATCATTAATGTTTCTATCTCTCTCTCTCTCCCTCTCCCTACTTCTCTCTGAAACCAATAAAGACATATTTTTTAAAAAATAACAACAACAAAAATTAGCCATCACACTCAAGCTCTGCCCATGTGGCTCACTTCGTCTCTCACCTCCTTGCGTTCCAGCCCTTCTGCGGAGCTCTGAGCTCTATGCCTGGTCACATGTCCCTCCTTCACACGCCATTCCCTCCTTCCCCACCTCTATTCCATCTGCCATCGGACAAAACAACAGGCGGCAGGAGACTAAGAGCAAAGGTTATGGAGTCATGTCTCGGATCAATTCATTGTAATTGCACAAATATTTACTCAACGCCTTCTCTGTGCCACCAGGGATGTAATTCCGCCACCACTGCTTGTGTGGCCTTTAAAGAGGTGATTAAAGTTAAATAAGGTTATATGAGAGGGCCCTAAGCCAATAGGACTGCTGTCCCTATAAGAAAGAGAGACACTAGGACTGTGTGAGCAGAGGAAAGACCAGGTAAAGAGACAGGGAGAAGACAGTCATCTGCAAGCCAAGAAGAGAGGCCTCAGGAGAAACCAACACTACTGACACCTTGATCTTGGGTTTTAATCTCCAGAATTGTGAGAAATAAAGCTCTGTTGTTTCAGCCACCATGTCTGGGGTGTTTGTTATGACAGCCCTAAGAGACTAATATAAACCCCAAAGGGCTGGTTCAGACACTGATTACTGCAGTCTCCTGCATTCTGCTCATTAGATTGGGATTCCTGCTGGTTTACCTGTTTGCCCCTGTATGGTAACCACCAGGCTCATTCCCTTTTGCTATGTGTAGCACTAGAGAAAACCCAGACATTAATACTGCAAGACACATTTTTGCCTAATTAATGAGTGATGCTGCTGCAACGGAGACTCTAGGAGTGTCATGAGAAGGGCAGGTATCTCCTCTTTAACCTGAGTGATCTTTTTACACAACTTTCAAACTAAACTAACTAGCCTAGGGTACAGTTTTGGGCAGAGGGCTGGGGAGGTGGGAAGCATCTTTTCCTAATTTTGAACAGGCAAGGTTTCATAGCTGGCAGACTCGGGCTAATACTCTGTGGTATTAGTGAGCTGCTGGATTTAGATTCTCAATGTCTTTCTCTTGTCTTCTTTGTCACTCTACTCAGGCTCCTTCCTACCCCTTCCTTCTCCCAAAGGCTCCAAATGGCCTTTGCAGACCTGCTGCAAGTAGAGAAAGTGTTTGGCCACTGGCCCTGTCACCCTTTACCCACCCCAACTAAGCACGTACAGGAGCCCACATCTGCGGGCCCTAATTTCCCCCAAAACACAAATGGATATTTTGAAAGACCTTACCGCAACTCTGGTAGAGTATTTCCAAGCTCCCGTCCTTGCAGGCCGTGTGTGTGGGCCAGGCTTGGCTACCACCTCCATTGGGGGAGGTCAGAGCCCAGATGAGGACGGTGGCAGTGAATCCCTTCATGGTGAGGGCCTGTGTGTGACCGACAGAAAAATAACAGGCCCAATAAAAAGGGCCTGTGAGGCGGTTCTTCCTCTCCCCCCATTAAGAGGGTGGCATGTTCAGTTTCATTTCTCATATTTTATGCTCCTGGGGAACCACCGTGAGAAGCAGAAGGCAGTTCAGAGGCATTTGAATGCTGCTCCCCCAGGACCTGCATTTGAATGAACAGGGTGAAGCTGGTCTGGGTTGGGGGTAGGTTGGATGTTGACTTTCTGCTTTCACAGGGAGAAAGTAGCAAGTGACCATGACTGTATGCCTCAGGTCCCTGAAAACATCCCTCCTAAGAGTCCCCACCCCAGCTGGAGCCGTGAACTCGGGAAAGGTAAGCCGCAGGCCTCCGGGCGCTTTCCCTCAGCCAGCCCCTAGGTTTCTGATGTGGGCTTCTGAGGTGGGCTGTGGACCAGGGACCTGGCTGGGGCTGGCAGGAAGCATGGGGCATTTGAGGTCTGGAATGAGGCTCTTTCCCTGGTGGCATTTTTCTCTCCTCTGGTGTCCACTCCCTTCTCTGGGTGGGGATGTCGGCAGTGACTTGTGCAGCTGCTAGCACACAGTTATTTTGGGGGGGCAGCAAACCTGCTCTCTGAAGGTGAGGTGGAGGGAGTAGCCCTGAGAAGTGAACTGTGTTCTATTTCTGGGTTCAGCTTGGTGGGCGGGGTAGGGAAAGATGGGGAAGTGAGAGCCTCCCTTTGAAGAGAGAGGGTCTAATTGTTTTGGTCATTGGCGGGACTGTTAATGTCATGTCTCACTTTCTTTTCAAAGCCAAGATCTGTCTCGCTATCTCACTGCCATTGTCCTGACTCTAGACAGCAGGGGTTCTGAACTCTCATCCCCCACTCCCCCCCAACTGCACAGCAGCTGGAAAGAACTGGAGTCAAGGCCAAAGCCTGCAGATTTTAGGAGCAACAGAGAACACAACTTCCCCTGGGAGGAAAAGCATTTCTCTGAGCACGCTAGGCAAGTTGACTATTCCTGCCAGCGGCTAACTAAGAACTAAAGTCACCTCAAAACTTTTTTTTGAAGTGGAATGTAATTGGTAATAAAGACAAACAAATACTGGCTTGATGGATACTCTGCATTTCTTGGGACACATCAGGGACTAGTCATTTGGGGAAGGGGCAAGGGGCAGGTCTGGATTGATTTTTTTTTCTTTTTTTTTAGGTACTCATCTGCAAATAAGTTCAGTGATGTTGGCTTTCTCAAAGTATGGTTCCTGGACAAGTAGCATCAACTCAACCAAGAGCTTGTTACAAATGCAAATTCTTGGGCTACAGGCAAGACCAACTGAATCAGAAACTCTGGGGTGGGGCCCAGCCAGCACTCGGTGTTTTAATAAGCTCCCTGGCTGAGTCTGATGCATTAAGAATCACAGGCTTTGGGAACTCAAGGTGAATTTGAGTCCCAAAGAAGAAGTAAGGGTGTGTTGCTCTAAGAGGGGACAAGGTAGCACCGTGTGGCCTGTGTGAGCAGAGGTCAGCTATGCTGTGACCAAGCCCTCAGATGAAGGCCAGAAGCTCAATGTTTAGAGTTGTGGGTCCTGGTGGGAGCGGTTAAGCCCTGGTAGGTCCAAGACAGGGACGTGGCAGCTTTCTGTAGAAGTTCTGTAGAAGTTGTTGAGAGAGCTCTGAACTGTGAGTGAGGAGAGCCATCGAGGCTAAGTCCTTCCACCCTGCAGAGCCCGGCCTGAGCCACACATGGGCAGATGCGCCCAGGAGTGCAGAGCAGGGAGCACACGGGCCGCTAGAGAGCTGTGAGCGGCTCTGTAAGGAAATCATGGTATCTGAGGACCGAGCTACGCATTTTTGTGACTCAAAAATGTGTAGATGAATAGAATCATAATTCAGAGATAGCATTGGTATTCAGAAATGTTCAGAATGGATCATGGGGAGGCTCGAGAGGTGCAGTGATGTCAGAGCCATAGCTCTCAGACAAGAGGGGGCATGAGCGTCAGCTGGAGGGCTGGTTAACACCCGGACTGTGGACTCTCCACCAAGAGTTTCTGATTCAGGAGTCTGGGGTGGGCCTGAGAACCTGCACTTCTAACAAACCCCTAGATGCTGCTGCTTCTGCGCTGGGGCCACAGTTTGAGAATTTTGCCCTAGGTTGTGGAATTTGTTCTCTCTCAGAGCGTACAGTTTCTAAAAATCCTCTTATTAACAACAAGTTCTATTGCCACATGATGGACAACATTTTGTAAAACACGTAACACACCCCGAGGAGCAAGGAGTGAGCCGCTTTCTCGAAGGAGTTGGGTGTCCTGGGGACCGGGATTTGACTGCAGTCATCGGTTATGGCTCACCTGGCTCCATCAGTCCCTAATGTGGCCAGGGGCTCTTGCACCAGAAGCTTTGTAAAGATCATGAAATTTGTTGAAAATGTCCTGTTCTCTAACCATGGAATAAAATTAGAATGAATTCATGCCAGTTATTTAAAAAATGGTCTTCCATATGTAGGTGGGAACCAAATATACCAGCAGGCCCCGATCCCGCCTTGCCACCGCGTAAGGAGGCTGCGCTCTGGCCTCGCTCAGGTCTCTGCGTCTTTGGCAATAGCGCCCCCCTCCGCGTCTCCAGCTGCTCTCTTCTCATAGAGCTTTGCTTGTGGACGGTGCCTGGCTTGCCTTGAAGGGTAAAAACGTTACCACCAAGATGGCTGTCTCTAAAGATGTTCTTAAGAAGAAAACTCATGTTTAAGGAGAGACTTTAAGAAGAAGAGGTGAAATTCTCAGGGCAAGAATCCAGCTACACGGGAGGTGAGGGTGAAGCCCCACTAGGTGAGGAAATCAGCAGGGCCGGGTGTTAGTGCAGAGCCAGGGGAGAGAAGAGAAAGCGGCCAGCAGCCAAGGGGAGAAGGGAAGGGGGAAAGGAGGGAA